TTCAAGCTCCATGAAGCTGGAGTGTCACTTTTTCGGAATCCTTTATGCTGTCTCACATGGCTTATGGATGGTGACTCCATGCTTTCCCAGAAGGATGTTCTCAGTGGCCGATTGCATGGCCCATGTTTTCTTCACTGCAGGGGACTTTGGGAGAAGCCAGCCCTGCTGTGGAGCCTGATGTCATGCAGCATTCTGAGTAGCAAACACAGTGGGCAGCGATTATAGTCGCACATCTGTGTGCTTAGGGCAAAGGCAGAGGCCTAAACAGGCAGGGCTGTGGGAGCTTCCCCACTGAATCAATGGCTTGTCTGAGATCTGGTGAGCCAAAATCAGGTAGAAAATAGAGGAGAGAGTTTCAGATGGACACGGCAGTGCGTGCAGAGACCGTGTGTCAGGCAGGAACGCAGGTCAGTCAGGAAACTGAGGAAAACGGTGTAGTTGGAGCCCGAGAACAAGGAAGGGACTACAGTGGATAAAGTTGAAGAGAGAAACAGGAATACAGAATAAACTTGCTTGTGTTGATCGTCTTGTAATTCTGGTAAAGGTGATAAAATTCGTTGGAAATTAATATAGCAAATCAAATATCTGTTGTTCATACCTAAGTAAAATGTGCTGCCGTACATCTCCCACAAAGAAGAGGATTTAAGACTTCTATTACCTGATTTCTCTAACCTCTGTACAGTTTTGCTCTTACTTAGTGTTTGACAACTAGCAAAATGATACAGAATGGAAATAAGAAAGCAACAGCTTTTCTGGAGCTATTAGGGTCTTTCAGAACAGTCTTTGTTTTAAAAATATAACATTTAAAAAACACTGTTCGAGATTTGGAATAAGTAATAATGAATATATTACTTCCCATTCCCAAGGGAACAAACACATTGAATTGCTTAACTCAAAATATGTACGAATGTTTCCTCTTATCTTAGGACACTATGCTTCTTATTTAAAAGAATGTAAAAACCCAGGGCTACTCTGACCTTGCCTCAAAAATATTTCACATAATTTAGGTACATTGCTTATCTCTTAAAAATAATACTGAAAAAAATCTTAAAACTTTGAAAATTGTTTTATAGTCCTGCTTTAGCTGGGTTATAAACTTTTAAGGAACTATAAAAATAAGCTCTACTGTAGGTCCTGGTTCACAGAAAATATCTTTGGGTTTTCCTTTGAATGAAAATTTTATGTTAATTGTATATTGATAACAGATGTAGTGAATAAATTAATTAAATGATGGGTTCTGCTTACAATGTCATACTTTTCATCATGATATGGTCATATTTAAATATGGCCTGAAATTATTTTGAATATTAATTTAGCTTAAAATGAAACTGAAATATTCCTAAACTGGAAACTTTGATACAAAGGCTAGCCAGAGATAATCATGCCCAGATACTCGCTTCCTCCATACGAGCTAGTTGTTGTGGGGAATGGGATAGTTTCAGAGACAGGCTGTTGCTGTGTAGTTCACCCTGGCCTTTCACTCATGGTATAGCCCAGGCTGGCCTCAGACTCCTACTCCTTCTGCCTCAGCCTCTGGAGTGCTGCATTGCACCACCCTGTGCAGCACTTGTGTGCTGTTTTCTTTCAGTCTCTTCATTCTATTGATTTTTCCTGAATTATTTATGACTAATGTTTGCTCAAGTTTTCACCTGCAAGATAACAAGTCTTTTCTCTATTGTCTCTGAAGAAATAAAGTTTGGGGTAAACTTAGAGAGTATTGATACTTCATAATCACATTAGGTTTGAAACTCCCTTTCTGCTTTGTGGCATTGACAACCAATTGACCATGCTGAGTCAATTTCTATTATTTTGAAAGGAATCCAAATTGGCAAAGAGCTGCTTGTCCTGTGGCATTTCACACCTCAGGGTGAGCAAGGGGAGGAAGGGCTTGAGTGGTCAGTCTTTGCTCCTTAGTGCTTTTCAAATAATGTGTTCTTTGAATCAGAATTTCAGGCGAGTGCTGCAGAGAAATGCCAGGGCTGTGGGAGCAAGGTAGTACATCCGAACTGGCTTTCAGCTTCTTCTTCCTTAATTTACTTGCTCAGTCAGCAATGCCCTATGGCAGTTATGGCCAACCTGTCAGAGCTTTCAGTGCTAGAAGCTGCTAGTTGCAGCATGTGTGTCGTGGACTCGCTACTATTCGCCCGCGGTTTACACTTTAAACATTTTGTCTCTTTAAGTCTAGAGGCTTTGGGGCTTTTAGACATCTTTCTTTAAAAGTTACCATTTCCTGTTTTTTCTCTCTATTTTAATATTGTTGTATTCCCTATTTTTTAAAAATGTTATTTTAAAACTCTACTTTTTATAGAGTGCAGTCAAGGGGAGGGGTTGATGTGTAAAGTATAAAAACAGGCTTTGATAGGATGTCAGCCCAAACAGGGACTCCCCGCTCCCCCCGCATTCCAGCCTGCCCCTGCTGGGGTGGCCGTGACTGTTACATTTTCATTGCTGCATGCTGCCTGCTCCTTGAACAGTGTTTGAAACTGTAAACTACTCCAAAGGCCAAGGTTGTGGAGATTGCCAGAAGTGCAGTGATACAGAGGGTTCCCAGCATAGCCAGTAGATGGGTCAGCCTTGGCTTTCCTTGGGTGCTCTGAGATTTGTGATGGTTTAAACAGAGCTTATTAGAGTCCTGTCTCTCTGGTTAGTCACCTTTCAACGCATTGATGAGATGAGGTTCATTCCTGTGTTCCTTTTAGGCCTGGGCAGGATTTCTTTCTTTCTTTCTTTCTTTTTTTTTTTTTTTCTGCATTCAGGATGGGGTCGACAGGGTCTTACTACACGATTGGACTCATAGTGATTCTCCTGTTTTCAGCCTCCTAAGCACCAGGATTACAGGAGGGGGCCACCACACCCCTTCTCATCAGCATGCCGGGCAGGTGGGGCTGGCACGGCACACTGGAGATTGAACCCTAGCCACTGCGCACTGCCTAAGCAGATGCTTTAGTCCGCTGACCTATCAGACCAGCCCTGATCAGGATTTCTTGCTGTTGGTATATAATTATAAGCTAAAAGTTGTGAAAACATCAATGCTTTTGTGATAGACATATTTCTTATTTTGAATTTTCTTATTTCTCATGTTTGTATGTGCACACTGTGTCACTGTATGATTGTCTTAGGTTTTAAAATCTTTCTATAATTAATTTAACTAATGCATAGAACAGTTAATAATGGAAAGTCCAGCACAGAGCACAGCTTGGTGAGAGGGGAATGCTTTATACAGAACTCAGATTCTGTGTGATCCAGAGGATCATGGGCTGCTCTCCTAGGCCAGCTCCAGTGTACAGTGAGTTAGCAGAGTAGGAGTTGGCCTCTTGCTCATATCCACGTCCTGTCTGGATGATCCCAGGTAGGCCTCTTCCATGAGGCCATTTGGTACAGAGGCTGTCCTATGTCACAGCTTTCCTTTCCTCCAGGGCTGTGTACTCTTTTCTGTGCAGCGGCAGAATGTTGAACGAGAACAGAGGACGATGTGTGACAGTCTCGTAGATGAGGCCTGTAAGTGTAACAGTCTGTATACTCACATTTACAGCTAAAACTCTGTCTCATCATTATATCTAATTTCAAGGGAGAAAATGGATGTTGTAAGGATCTAGACAAATTCCCAAGCCCAACATGAAGAAACCTTTTCATAAAATTTGATTTTTTTCTATCCTACATGAGTGTATATGGGAATAAATTACTTCTATTATGTGGATTATTTACAGAAAATATTGATTAGAGATACATAGAATTTTAATAAACCACAGAGGTGGAGAAATGATTTTTGAGTTTTCACTGAATGGCCTTTAATATAGACATTGAAGAAAAAAGAATAGAAATTGTTGGGCAAAATGACAAATTTCAGACAGGTAGCATTCAATCAATGTATTAGAAAATTAAGTGTTCGAGGTAGTATATAAGGGATTTATAATTAGCTCAGTTAAGCTTATTGACTTAGTAGAATGACATTTTAATGGAATATTCTAGTTAATAAGCTAAGAATTGAGAAAAAAATTAAATCATACATGTGGTAAGGATTAATATTGAAAACTTTTAAAGAACTCTTAAAACTCCATAGCAAATAACCAATTGAGTTAAAAGCCAGGCAAATCTATTAACTCTACACTTCTCAAAGGAGAAAAAGATGACCAATAAGGTAAGGAAAAGGTGCCAAAAATGACTATCAGGGAAATGCCAATCAAAGCCACCGGTGAGATCCCTCCCCGCACCTGTGGGGGTGACTGTTGTCAAAGAGACAAGTGTTAGTGAGCTGTGAAGCAAAGAAGATCACTGTACTCTATTGGTGAGAATGTAGTTGGTCAAACATTTGAAATGGGGTGTGGAACCTTCTAAATAAATTAAATGTAGATATACCTTATGACGCAGATGTCCTTCTGGGTATACGGTGTGTCAGAAGGAAATGAAGGCACTACCGTTTATGGGTATTGACACTCTCACGTTTATTTCAACATAACACAGTAGCCAAGTTCTGTCCCATCACTAAATGAATAGACGTGGTAACTGTGTAAGGCAACTGCATATCAAGCCTTAGGAAAAGAGATTCTGCCATTTGCCAATATATGTCTGAACATAGAGAATATTTTGCTAAGTGAAGTAGCCAGACACACAAAGAAAAGTATTACATGAGCTCACTTGTACGTGGAATCTTATTTTTTAAAAAGGCAAATGTATAGAAATAGAGAATAAACCAGTGGTCCTTAGGGTCAGCAGTGAGGAGGAGTGGAATGGGGAGATGTAAATCACAGGACACAAAATAGCAGAAGTGTGGTGTGAGCAAGTCTAGAGATCTGATGTACAACATGAGGACTGCTGTTAATAATATTGTATTTGGGATTTTTGCCAAATGAGTATATTTTAGCTGTCCTTGATGTATGCATAAAAAGGGGTAACCATATATATTTATCTCATTACATCATATTACATATCTTACATACATACAATAAAATCTATTAAAAATAAGAATATTTTAGCTTTTTTTTCTTGTTTTCCTTACACAGGTGATTAAAGTATACAGTGAAGATGAAACCAGCAGGGCTTTAGAGGTACCCAGTGACATAACTGCCCGGGATGTTTGCCAGCTGTTGATCTTGAAGAATCATTACATTGATGACCACAGCTGGACGCTCTTTGAGCACCTGCCTCATGTAGGTGTAGGTAAGGATGCAGTCACAGGTCATACCTCTGTTTTTCTGAGTCTTGTAGGTCTTATGACAAAGATTTTCTGCTGATGTATAAAAATAGACAAAAGAATTAGGAATAGTTCTTTTTCATTATTTCTTCTTTTGGTTGTTAATAGTTGATAAAGTAGCACAAAATTGAAACAAGGATGAAATATTGTAAATTTACTACCTGTCCTGGCTTAAGTAGTGATGTGTGGTGATTTTAGAGCAAAGATAAAGTTCAACAAAAAGAATTTCTGAGATGACAAGTTGCTTCGTAGTGCATGTTAGCCTCAAACTGCTGAGCTCAGTCAAGCAACACTCCTGTCATGTGCTTCAGACTTACTAGGGCTCCAGGTATGTTCTACCATGCCCAGCTCAGAGAGTTCAAGTTGATGTAAGGACAAATGTAATCATAATTGGTAGTTGTTTTAGTCACTTTTCTCTTGTTGCTGGGACAAAATACCTGATGTCCAAAATTAGGAAAGGAAAGGTTTTAAGCTCACAGTTTGTAAAGGTTTCAGTCCATAATCACTGGCTCCAAGGCAGAGTGGCGTGGCGGGGGGCCAATCATTCAAGGCTGTAGAAGACAGCAAGAGCAGCAGCGGAAGGGGAGGAGCAAGCCTCTTCCCTTATGTTGTATGCAGGCTACATGCTGAAGGGCAGGTTTAGCACTCACACCATCAACCCCATTCTTACTAGAGAATGAACCGTTCCCAAACTTGAGATTTAGCTGCCTCTGAGAAGCCCAGCCCCGTGACTGCATAAGGCTTTGGGGAGATATGCAGGTATGAACCATAACAGTGGCATAATGAAAAGTCCTTTTTTCTTTTTCTTTTTTAATGTGTCATCTTGCTGTATTATTGAGTACAGATGATTTCTCTCCTGTCACCTAGAGACCATTTCACTGACTGCTCTGCTTGGCTGCTAGCCTCTTGTCTCTCTTCAGCAATGGTAAGGTGGATCCCTTCTCCCTGGGGAAGAGAAATCCATGGTTTGTTGCCTTTGCCAATGACAAAAATGTTGGAGAGCTGGGTGGCAAAGCTGTTGCTATTGGCCTCCTTCTCATGGGCCACATCAAAAGAGCCAGGCTGTCTCTCCCTGTTGGTGATCACGCCAGTCCTTCCCAGGTTGGCACCTCCAGTCACCATGTACATGTTACCAGTGTCAAACTTGATAAAGTCGGTAATCTTGCCAGTATCCAAGTCAGTCTGGATGGTGTCATTGACTTTGATGAGGGGATCAGGGTAGCGAATGGTGTGAGGATCATCGGTCACCGGATGTGGGATCCCTTTCGTGCACACCAAGATCTTTCTTACTTTGCGTAGCTTATACTTGGCCTCCTCGGTTGTAATGTGGGGAACAGCACAGTGCCCCTTGGTGTCATAGATCAGACGGAAATTCTCTGTGGTCTTGTCAGTCTGATAACATCCAAGAAGCCAGCAGGGCAGGTTATATCAGTTGGCACCTTGCCGTTGATCTTAATGAAGCGCTGCGTGCAGATCTTCTTCACTTCATCGCCAGTCAGGGCGTACTTAAGTCCGCTCCTCAGGAACATGATGCGAGGCAGACATTATCTCAGCTTGTCAGGCCTGGTAGATGGATGAGGAGCAAACACGCCAGTCAGTTTATCCAGCATCCAATGCTTTGGAGCAGCTCTTTGCTTCACATGCTTCTTAGGACCATGAGCCATGGCTGCGCTAGGAACAGAAAGAGCATGAAAAGTTCTTGAGACATTAATAAAACAAAATAGCCCCTGCACTACTTTTGGCATTCACTGCAGTGTAGACAAACATCAGTATACATCCTGGTGATTCTTCTTATGGGAATATACATCCCTAATCTCTGGAAAAATGACTAACTCCTAATTTTTTTTTTTTTTTTTTGTAATTTATTTGGCACAGGGTCTTACTACACAGCTCAGACTCATAGTGATCCTCCTGTTTTCAGCCTCCCCAGCACCAGGATTACAGGCATGTGCCACCCTGCCGGGACTTGATGGCTGGCTCAGCGTGGCCAGGGGTGGGGCTGATGTGGCCTATGGTGCTGGGGGATTGAATCTCAGTCCCTGCGCTTGCCTAAGCAGACGCTTAGTCTGCTGAGCTATCTCGCTGGCCCTAACTTCTAATTCTGAAGGCATAAACCTAAAGACTCACCTTTAAAAATTTTAATTGTAGTGCATCTCCATATTAGGAACTGTGGAAATTTTGATAAATTATTTTAATAAGCTATAGAGAATGAATCACCCCACTAGACCGAGGCAGGGTTTGGAAAAAATTTTATTCTCTGCTCTCTTAATTTAACAGATACTAAGAACATTTTTTATGTAAATAGGTGAGAAAAGAAGAAATTTGTTATGGTGATACATTTGATTTGTTTGAAATTTATATTCATCTGGTTGCACTAACAAATTATCACAAACTTAGTGGCTTAAAATAAGAGAAATGTGATCTCTCACACTCCCAGAGCTCTGAGAATCAGTGTTCCTGGATCACAATTACGATGATGCCAGGCTCTGGTCCCTCTGGAGACCTCGGGAAGAATACTGGACATTCCTAGCCTCTTATAGCTTCTGGTGGCGCCAGCAGCCCTTGGCTGTGGCAGCATCATTCTAATCTCATCTCCATGGTCAGATGGCCTTCCTTTGTGTCAGGTCTCCCTCTTTTGTGATGAGCAGTGACATTCCAAGCCCTACCAAACAATCCAGGAAAATCTCATTTCAAAGGTCTCTAATCTAACCATCACTGTAGTTGTTTTTCCTCCTCTTTGTTAGTCTGCTCCTCCTTTTCTTCCTTTCTCTTCTTTCTCTCTTCATCCTCTTCCTCCTCCTGCTTTCTTCCTCCTCCCTCTCATCTAAGGTGGTATTTGTGGATTCTAGGTGCTATGATGTGGTTATCACTGGGGCGTTAATATTCAGCCTGTCAAAGCTTCTTTTCATTTTATGTTAAGAAACCTTTTAGTAATAAATCATTAAAATCATTTAAAATAACATTATTAACAACTCAGTCATTACCTTCAGTTTATTTGAAGAATTGTGAAAGAATTTTATACCGATTTGTAAGAGTCAATTCACTGTCCTCCTTAACTGCCAGTATATAAAATTGTTCCTTAGCTTAATATATTTGTGGACTTGTGTCCCAGTGTGATGGTCCAAATTGTGGTTAGTTTCAGATGAGAGGTTTGCTTTTCTCTTAGGAAATAGAATTTTAAGGATAGTGTTGGCAGAAGTGTGTTTATAGGAGAGACCATTCTGATGATAATATTTGGAAAGTGACATTCTTCCTACTGCCTTCTTTTCGAGCCCTTCACAGTGCAAGTGGCCTTCCACTTTTAGGACTGCTGTCCTAGGAGGTGCTGCACCGAGTCCAGCCCATGCAGGAGAAGCTAGAGCAATTTCTTGACCTGCAGGGCGACTCCGACCCTGAGCGCCTGCCCTCTTGACTCTGCCACACTGCAGCAGGGCCTGCTGCTGATGTGCGGGGAGGAGACAGGCATGTGTGCGCCTCCTTAGGAAGCCTGGCTCAGAAAGTGCCCTGTGCTGCCCCTGAGAGAGTCTAGGGCAGAGAAAGCGCAGTCTGCATTTTCTTTGCTGCCATTTATGACTAATTTAACTTCTTCTCATGATAATTAATCTCACAAAGTATGATAATTCTCAATAGATCTACTATATTCCAAATTTTTTCATTTAATTATAGTAAGAGGATTATATCTCTTATATAGCTTAATATAGATGTACAGTGTTTTGTATACTCCTATATTTTTCTTCTCAGAGACCTTTAAGAACATTTTTTGGTTGTAGTCACTGTAATTTATCTCTAATAAGCATTTTAAAAGTTCAGTAAAAAAATTACTATGTAAATTAAGCAGCAGTTTTCATTCAGGATGCTAGAAATTATATTGAAAAACTGAATGCAGAAGTCTTACAAAAGCTTAAATGGAAAATTAATTAGAGCTTTATACTAACTATACATTTTTAGTCATCAAATAATAATAGAAGTTATTACATTTCTCCATTAAAGTACAGTGATTCCTTGGTTCATGGACATAATTCTTTTTGTGAGTTTAGTTGCAGACTAACCTGGACAAGAACTAAATCAAATTTTCACATACAGTCAGCACTCAGTCTGTCCACTGAACTTGATTTTGTTCTCAACCAACTCAGTTTGTGACCAGAATAGTGGAAAGAATCAAGTTAATGAAGGGAGTTACCACTGTATTTTCTAGAAATTGCTGAAGCAAAAATGTGCAAATCAATTGTCTCATCTTTTTAGCCACCATGAATTAGATCAAAGCTTATGAGAAAGAATTTTTGTTCCAGAGCTTACTTTGTTCTTTTCATTTTTTTAAAAACTCAGATAGTATATTTAAATACCAGCACTCAGGAGACTGAGGCAGGAGGATCATTGGGAGTTCAAGACCAGCCTGAGCTACAAAGGCAGCTCAAGGGCAGCCTGAACTGCATGAGGAGACCCTGTCTCAGAAAGACAAATACTATGACCAAAACCAAAGCAAATCAAAGCAAAATAAAGCAAAACAAAATGTTACAGATACTAATTCTCTCCCGTACTGATCCGTGATGCATGGAGCGGCGTCTCGTTCTTGTCTACCAATGCTGTATAACAAGAAGAGCTGCCAGCAAGCCCCCACGGTCTTGCTCTGCATTGAATATAAGCATGTGTCTTGACATGTTCTCATTGTTGCTCATGTGTTTGCTTTTGAAAAGCTTATAAAGGAGGGCTGGCCAAATAGCTCAGAGGAATAAAGTGCCTGCAAGAAGGGGTAGGGGCCAGGGCTTTGATCGTGGGCCTGCCATGCCATCCCCATCCCCGGGGCGTGCTGAGACAGCAACTGAGACTGTGCATGGTGGTGCGCGCCTGTAATCCCAGCGCTTGTGAGGCTGTAAACAGGCGGATCACAATGAGTCCAATCTAGTAGTGAGACCCTGAATGCCCTGTAAACCCTTCCCTGAAATACAGAAAAACAAAAAACAAGAAA